GTGTCCCTGAAAAGGACGTCAAGGCTCTCTTTTCTACCTCCTCCATGTACAGGTTGGCAACAATAGGAGAAACTGGAGACCCCATAGCACACCCATGTTTCTGCCTATAATATTGCTCCCCATATGTGAAGTAGGTTGACTGCAGGCACAGTTTCAAGAGTTGACACAGTTGTTCTGTGGAAAGTGTGGTCCTGCTGCTCAGAGTGGTGTCTGATTTTAATTTTAAACTGACCACCTCTACTGCATCATCAACAGGAATGCACGTAAAGAGTGATGTGACATCAAAAGAGACCATTGTTTCATCAGTCTCCATGATGACATCCCTCACCTTGTCCACAAAGTCCATGGTGTTCTGTATGTGGTGTTCTGAGCTGCCAACTACATTTTTTTGTTGATTTGCTTTGTTTTGTTGTTTTGAATGTCCAGAGGACCAGATTTAACTTTTTTAGAAAGCAAGTTTGGGTTTTTAAAAAGTTTCTGCTGAAAGTTTGTTCAATTCTTGCTGACAAAATACGCCTCAAACGAGTCATACACATCTCAAGCACTTCCATCCATCCATTGATCCAGTATCTTCTACTTGTCCTGTCGTTGGGTCACGGGGGCAGCTGCTTGAGCAAGAAGGCCCAGACATCGTTTTCCCCAGCCGGCTCTTCAGGGAGGATTCCAAGATGTTTTCAAGACATCCATTTATTTTCTGTACTTGTACTTAGACTCACAGGGAGCTCGAGTATGGGTAAAAGGTGGGTAAAAGGTGGGGTGCACCGCACATGTACCCAGTCCATAGCAGGTCCAACATAGAGGACACACACTCACATTTAACCTTTTATTTAAAGGTTTACACCCACTTGTGCCCAGAAAAACAATAAATTGTGCCTCTGGCATTTTGTTGAATGTTTACAAAAAGAAAGAAAGAAATGGCTAAAACACCAGCTATTTTAAAATATTATATTCATTTTTTATTCTCTTTTGCAACCTTAACACAGAGGTGAGAGAATCTGTGTTCTGTTTTGTGTTCCTTCTTTAGATTCTTGTGTTTCATGCCTTCCCCAGTATTTCTTCATTCATGTTGCCAGGTCATGCTTCACCTGTTCCTAATCCAAACCCCCCCCCAGGTGTTTGTCTTTATGTCTCATTAGTGTCCCTTCAAGCTCTGCGTCTTTGTGTTTCCTGGTTGTCCATGTATTGTGCTTCCCACAGTCGTTTGCGTTCTGTTCCTTGCGTCTCCTCGTGATCCCTATTCGTGTAAGTTTCGCTGCCACGTCAGCTTTTTGGTTTGTCTTATTTAATAAATTAATTATTTGTATCCCCGAGTTCCTGAAATCTGTCTGTACCTAAAGTTTTTGTTTGAAATTAAGCAAAACCATGTATGTCTCAAAAATGTATGCAGTATTTTAATTTTAGATAGAAACAGTCTAAAAATGACCCTCTGGGAGATTTGAGTCTCATGAGATCAGATTAATAAACGTAAATTAGCATGTGGTCGGAAAGCAGACATTGAGTAGATTTATAAATTAGCTACTTCTGCAGGCAGTCTGCTAACCTTGCACTGATCTATGGACACACACAGCCAGTTCTTTTTAATAATGACAAAATAAATCTCACACAACCAGCAATAAATCCTGGCAATTTGTAGATGAACACAATCCCAGAGAATCACACACGGGTAATTTAACAACTACACAGACGCCACTGTATCGACAGAATATACCATAGAAATGACAATAACCATTGTCATTGCAAGATAAGCTGTTAAAAATGTTTGACTGATACAGTTAGATTAAATTGTATTAATCACTGTCCACTTTATAACCTCTAAAATAATAAAATAACCTCCTTTTTTATATAAATGTCAAGTAAATTTCAGTAGGGGAGGCACGATGGCTCAGTTGGTAGAGCTGTTGCTTCTCAGCAAGAAGGTCACCGGATCAAATCCCTGCCAGGGGGCTACCTGTGTGAATTATGCATGTTCTCTCCGTGCATGCGTGGGTTTTCTCTGGGTACTGCGGTTTCCTCCCACAGACCAAAAACATGCATGTTAGGCTGATTGGTAACTCCAAATTGTGTCCTCTATGTGTCCCTGTGATGGACTGGAGACCTGTCCAGGATGTCTCTCACCTCTCACACAATGATAACTGGACATGTGCACCAGTGACCCCCATGATCCTAAAAGGAAGAAGTGGGTAAAGATAATGAATAGATGGATGGATGGATAAATTTCAGTAATGCTTAAAAGATTATCGGTAATATACATATTAGAACTTCAGCACCAAGGACAGCGTACATGAAGCAAATCATGTTGGCATTAAAGCCTAAAATACTGTAATATCACATTATTAGGAAAAAAAAACCTTTCCTGATAACTAACAAGCCCCCCCCCCCACACACACACACACACACATAAATATTTTAATCTTTTTATTCTGAGAATAAAGACATAAATAGACGTATAAACATCTAGATCAAATGTTTTCTCACCACCTTTTGCTCACGTAGGATTTCCAACATCTTCAAAAATAATGTCTTTAAGATCTTATGTATTTTTATTTTTTTCATGTTTAATTTGCTCAAATCATTTGTAAATGTGGCTCTTTATTTCACGCTGCTTAGATTAAAGAAGGCCAATTTGCCCTTCATAGCTAAGCTAATAGAAATGTTGTAAACATTAAGTCAATTCTAACTCAAATTTTAACAACTGGTATCTGTTTTGTTTTGCCCTTCTAAATAATTTCCCTCACCTTTTTTATCTCACCCTCCTACTGTTATCGACTCACTGCGGTGGGGATTTCACAGTCAGTGGCTGTGGGCCTGTTCAGCTTGTGTCTTGAGTGTGGGAATGTCATGGCCATGATCCTTTTCCTCACACTGCACTATGCCTGGGATCAAGCCCCACCACCTGCTGAGACAATCCCACCTCCTGCACTGCGGGGGAGAGATTTTACCTTGTGCTCTTTGACCCTCTTGATTTTATTTTATTCTCGACTTTGTACGTATTTGAAACGTATTCAAACATAAATAAGGAAACAAGCCGCATATCCAGGTACAATTCAGAGAACATAAAAGCAAAAATAAGGTCAAATCTATTTGAATAAGAATGGACACAATGCCTGAAGATATATGGCATCTACAGTAAAAAAAAAAAAAAGGCCCATTTGCTCAAACTGACTCTCAGTAAATGAAATCAAATTGATGTAGAAACTTTGTCGTGTGAGGCTTTAGTGCCACATGTCCACAGATGATGTTTCATATACGCAAGTGAGACTGCAGACAGGAAAGGTGGTGGCTACTGAACTCTGCACCACCAAACGAATGAGACATGGATGAGAGGAGCCACACAGGGATAAGAAAATGTATGAATACCAAGCACAGCGAGACGAGGTGAGGCGACACGAGTTGAGAGAGATCAGATATAACTGAAAGCATGAAATAAACAGACAACGACAAAAGCCAAAGAAGCCAGAACAGTTAGATCCAAGTGAAGATTGGGATTCAATCCCAGAGATGATCCCTTGTTCCTTTTCTGCTCTTTATCCCAGGACTGTCACCACCTGCTACCACATCGACTTTCCTGTTCATTGATCAGAGCCAGCAGCTTATTATCTGGTCTCTATTCATACGCAGGCACATTTGCAAACACGTGCTGCGAAACAGGCATGTATACCACTCATTCAGACAGTTTAGGTCTTTTCCAGCTTTAACCAAGCACTTCCTTGAAAAACGAGCTCGATAGAAGGTGCACACAGGCAGTTAAAGCAGTGCTTAAGCATAAAGGTAATTGACTTAACTGGCTGGTACACAGGAGTGAAAAATGTGGTGAAACTGACTGTAGGTTTCTGTCTCTGGAGAAAAAGTCAATGAAAAATGTAACAGTTCGAAGGTCAGGCTATTGTGTTTGTGTTTGAGGGAAGGGGGTAATTGAAGGCAATCTATGTTTCCACACATGCACACACAAAATATAGAATTGCTTGTAGATGCTTAAACGCCGTTGCTCACTTTTTCATTGATCTGTTCTTGTGTCTTCAGGTATTCAAAGTTGAACGACCCTGCTGACTGGTTGTCCATCAACAGAACCAGTGGTCAGATTGTGACCACAGCAATGCTCGACCGAGAGTCCGTCTACATTAAAAACAATATTTATGAAGCAACATTTCTGGCTACAGACAATGGTAAGAAGCTATTAATAGTTTTCTCTTTGTTTATTCTAACTTTATATCTTAACAAGGCCCTACTGATCATTTTACAGCCAAAAAGAAAAAATCCTATTTATATTTGTGTTTCTTGGCATTATCATTTATATTTTAAGGGGTAAAGAAAAACACACTACTATAACATTATATTCCATTTGTGCACTATAAGATTTAGGCTGAATCCTATTCCACCCCGTAAACTTATCCTTTAGCCATACAACAACCATTATACCATTTAGTTAACTGTAGCTGATATATTTTCTTCTTGGTAATATTTATTTTCCTTAAGTTTAAATAAATTGTATGCTGATGTCTAGGCTATGATCACACTGCAGACAAAAGTGGCTTGCATCCAAAAAAATCTGCCCATTTTTGACCCTTGAGGATTTTTTGACAAACTAAGCATAACAATTTATTTATTTTAACAGACCTACTTTCATATGTGGTTGTTAGAACCCTTGGACTGAGTCTAGGAGGCACAAGGTGCAACACAAATTGTAAACTAAACAAAAAGCTAATAACTTGAATAAAACAGCCCAATTTGCCTTTAGAATAATTTATTCTTTTAATAGTTTTGGGCGTTAAGAGGCAGAAGGGAAGCAATGAGCTTCAGGGTTTCCAAGGTCAAAACAACAAACAAAAGGATGCCCCTTCTGGCTAGAAAATTAAATCTCTTCTTATCTAACAAAACAAAAACTACAATTCCTGAGCTCCCTATCTGGCAACAAAACAGGAGAAAAGTTAATTAAAATGAAATGGCGGAGAACCCTTATCAAACTTCCCATCTAAGTAAAAGTTCTTAAGTAGAACTGTTCACGTAAGATCAGCAAGATCTTCTCAGAGCTGCTAAAACACTTTGTGCACAGACTTAAATTCAGAGTCAACCACAGCAATGCCAGTGGGGAAGAGGAAATGCCCAAGGAAAAGAGGGCCGTGGTGCTGGATCGCTGAAGCTTTTATGCAGTCCACTGATGAGGAGGAAGTGATTCCAGGTGTGCAGCATGGTGAGACAGCAAGCCTGTAAGCAAAGGAGGAGAAAGGTTGTAAGAGAACTCCTAGAAATCAGTGGATGTAACAGATGTACTAAATCAGATACATACTGGATCATTTTCAAAGTAACTACAGTCTGAAGGGTCATGTCACATTTCATCATACATCACTGAATAAAGGTATGAGGAGGAAGGTAAATGAAGATATTATCAGTGTCATGCAGTTTGAAGGTAATCGTTGAACAAACAACACATGGGTGATAATAATTTAGTCGGCTCTGTTTGCACAACATAACCAGAAGTGATACACACATGCTAACGTGTAGCTTTCATTTATAGTTCCATGAACACAGCATGTTGTGTGCGTCATTTACGTCTTTTTCTGTGTTCACACTGGAGTCTGCTAAAGGTCACATTTAGAATATAATGAAAATTATCACACAAAAAATTTGATCTTTGAAAAAAAAAAGATCTGAACTGAGCATTAATACTTGCAGATTTAATGTAGTTTTAGTTTAATGCAAAAGATAGCAACAAAAAAAAAAAACATATGGGTCACATATTGACAAAAACAAAACAGGATTTGTGACACTTATGCCTGAAGTGAAAATGTTTTAGATTGAAACTGCAGACAAAAAGCTTTTTTTTTCTTTGCCAAATATGGGTTTTTACTGTCTCATCTACAGATATTAAAAAGCACTGGTTGAAAACTGATGGCATATTAGATTTCAATGAGGCGTCCTAATTTGTAATGGAGTATTTTAATCCCTAAAGTTTGTGATTTGACATAAAGAGCCATAATAATAGGAGCTAACAATAGAAATAGGAAATTGTTACAATTACCGTAATTCTTGGGCTACAGAACGCACATGTCTTTAAGCCGCACATACTAAATATAAGATAAATCATAAACTTTCCACGTTGTAGATTTTTTGTTAGTTTTTAAAGCCGATGATCTTAACCAATGCGTACAAATTTGACCAAACAGTTTAACTGATGTATCGCTCTGAAATTATTTTGACGCCCAGAATCACAAAAATTATCTAACATAAAAGTTCATGCTCAATAATCCAGGTAAAAATCCAAAAATGTTCAGTCAGGTCATCTGGATGGTTCTTTTATTTTTATTTTTTTTGCTGAGACGTTTTGTCCTTCATCCAAAGGACTTCTTCAATCTGAGGAGCCACCAAAACAAACTGAGTCCCACAAACAGCACACTCCCATAATAAAAAAACAAAACAGTTTGCTGGTGATAATATGGCCTCTGGGGCCCGCCCTCTCCTCCATCAACTCCTAAAGAGAGTAAAGATATCTAATTTCTATATCTTCTAAATAGATTTTAAGTTTTGGGTATCTTGATTTTATTGATTTTAAAGTATTTTAGTATCATGTATAAATGTGAGAGTGACTGAATAACTCAAAAACGTTCAATACAAAATAACTGAATAACTGACTAATAATAATAACTGACTGAATAACTCAATTCTAAAACAAAATTTTACTTGAGCCTCATCAAACCAGAATATTTTGTTAAAAATGAAAGTATCATGACACACAGCATCTGAGGCTGTTCATCTAAGCTTGACTCAAAGAAACACCTGGATCCACACAACTGGTCACATCGCTGTTCCTCTTTGCTTCTTTAAATTCATTCAAGCCTGCCTCCTCCTTCCCTTTGCTGAAAATTTGTGTTGCATATTTCATTTGTTCCACCTCAAAGTTGAAACTTAAGCTTAACCAAGCACAAACTCAATCACAGCAAACAAATAAGTTTCTCCCTTTCTTTCCTCGAGTAGGAAATTCCTTTTTCGCCCTTCCAAATTGCCTTATCAATGACACACAGAGCTCGGGTGTGTGTACTATAACTTGAGCCAGCCGTGGGACTTTGTTGTATTTATAATTGTTAGCATCTGGGTGTGCTCTCATGTGCAACACTTTTATGTGAACTTGTGTTTTTCTGTGCAGTCATTTGTGATGATTGAAAACGTCAGTAACTTTCTGCCTAGATGCAAAAAGAATGTGGTTTATAGGCTGACAAGCTAAAGCAAATTCAGCATTTCTGATTTGTCTTTCCTTGTTGCCCTTTGAGTTTCTTTAAAATCACCAAATCTTACTTTTTTAAGCTCTTGTTTGTACGTTTTCACCTGACCAAGTGTGCAGTTTAGCCAGTATTATTATTCAATTTGGCTGATATTGGTAAAATGGTAACCGCAAAATATGAGGTGCATCAGTTAAATGTGTTTGTGTGTGTGAGTTTATTAATGTTGTAGTGAGCAGATTTGTCTCTCAAGGTGTTTCTGAACTGCCAGATGCTACAACATGAGGGGGGATTATAGTGAGAAGCTCTATAAATCAGTATGAATACTAGGTGGGACATGAAAAGGTACTGTCAGCATGGTGAGAAGTACACTTTTTTGGCAATGTCAGACCCCATTTGGCTTTTTTTTAACACCTATAGTGTTGTTTTTGCCTGTGTGTTCATCAATGAGTGTATTGTCGGCTGCTAGGAGTCTTTTGACCGTGCCTGGCATCTCTCATCCACCATCAAAAAAGGGAGTTTATACAAATCCTCTGAGGAATTTACACAAACATAATTATTTATTTAGCAGGGTAAAACCCACATAATTCTCCTATCAGCTGTAGCAAGCTGCTTCCACATGTCTCCCATACATGGCTGGGATTAACCAACTAGTGTGTGTGCAGTTTTGTGCTTATGTGCATGTTTGTACATGTGCAAGAAGTGTTTGAAGCATGTGTTTTAACATGTATGTATGCCTTTGTTTATTGCTTTGCTTTAAGTACCATCATGTCTGAAAAAAGCAGCAATATTTATGAATGTTTTACCGTTTATTAGTGACTCCCAAATATAATTGAAATGCGCTGAAATCTTTTGAATTATCTTATATTGTTAGAAGATCTGGTTTATAGAGTATGGCTTCATGACTGTGTCTTATAGTTAAATAAAAAGTCAGTTAACTTCCTAAGACCCGAACTCTTGCATATGTGGATGTCAAGTCCTAGGAGGTTACTAATGTTATTTATCTAAGGAGCCAGCAGATTTTTAAGCAGGAAATCTGATCAATGCACGTCTATCTTGGGGGGGTGTTCTTGTGATTCAATGAAAGTATGGTACCTCATTGGTCAATAAGGTGACTTCTGGTCACATGGCAACAGCGTGGGGATTATAGGTGTTTAGTATCAAAATTGGAACCATGAGCGAGAGGTACATGAGCATTTACTTTGTGTCACAAAAACCTACAGCTACAGTATATGAGAGCCTGGGTGTGTCAAATGAAAATGTTATTCTGCAGCAGGAAGCTTGGTGGTTTATCAAAATAAAATATAATTTAAAGAACACACATAAATTAACCTCTTCTGTGTATAAGCGGTGGAGTGCAAAGCATGAGAAAAAAAAAGTAGCAGTTTATACACCAGCAATTACAGTAATGTTGTCCAAATTAAATTGTTACTGCTGGATTATAATTTTTTTGTGGTGGGGGGGGGGGGGGGGGGATGCAGTAAAAGTCAATACCTTCAACAGAAAAACTACATTGTGTTATAGCTTCTGAAATTAGAACGAGATTATCATTTATTTATGTTACAGATGATTAAATTAGCATCTTCATTTCATTTTGTTTTTGTTGGTGAGTTGTGGTGATAGTACATAAACGGCCAAAGTGGGTTTTAAAATTGGATCATTCTGACTGTAAATGACTGTATATACACAAAAGTTCATGATCTGGTCTTGCTATTTGTGTCAAAATGTTTTTAGTATTAAATAAAACCTTTAGGCACTTACTTATTTTTACTTTATCATTGCTGGTTACCTGTAACAAAATTTAACAGAGCAGATCTAGCTACCCCAAATCTACACATTCTCAATAAAAGGAGCAGCGTGAGTACACATCAACATTTGAAGTGCTGTTTTGATTCGTTCATTGAATTGGGCTCCAACTGATGACATCTCATGAGTACAAAAGTGCACACATA